ATGGACAGCAATGTTGTAGTTGTATACAACAAGATCAATATACTTTGTCCAACATGCTTCCTTTACGTTTTCATCTTTGGCATCCTTTTGTTTAGCTATGGCTCTTGTTAATGTTTGATTTAAGCGTTCAATTTGACCTTGTGGTTGCGGGTGTCTAACTCTGGCATGAATCAACTTTACGTTAAACCGAGCACAAAGATCGTTAATCACAGAATTAGAAAATTCCTTTCCATTGTCACATTGTAAAACAGTTGGTAAACCAAAGGTCAGAAAAAGTGATTCTAATGCATTGCTAACTTCCAAAACTGCTTTAGATTTGAGTGGATAAGCCTTTACAAGTTTTAAATAAACATCAATCACATTAAGTATACAACAAAAACCTATGTTTGTTGTTTTATAACTCTTAAGGCCGATTAAGTCCATCATAATGTGCTCAAAGCGGTAGGTGGCCGTAACATGCTTAAATGGATTTTTCTGCTTTAAAGGCTGTGATGTTTTACAAGTATTACAGATTGCAACAATATCTCTCACAATAGTTCTGGATATTGTAAAGAAATAATCCTTACATAATTCATACATCCTATTATGGCCCCAATGGTTGGTACCATAAAGTCTTTTAACCTCTAGTGCCATGGTATCGACCCTGGTCTTGTAGAACACTTTTTTGTGCGGTCCTTCTCTAATATTTAAGTAGAGGATGTCATTAAGTACAAGAAAGTGTTCCGCCTTCTTGCGAAGCCTAAATACTTGGTATCTACTCAAATTTCTCTCTAACGGCAGCTTTAAAAGGATGGCCATTATTGCATCATATTCCTCATTATCATTTATAACTGATACCATTAATGGCTAAAAATAAAAAATTTTTAAAAGATTCAATTTTTTTGTTCTTAAATATATATTGCAGAATTTAAAATATTTTGCAGCCTACCTTTATTTAACAAATTCCACTTGTAAAATTATTTATTTAAAATTTTAATAAAGTATACGTGACAAGTATCGCAGTTGGGTTTATCTTGTTACATGTAAAAGCATCTACGGGTTCGATTCCGTATAAAAATATTTAAGTATAGGTTTTTGGATAATGATTCCGTCTATTATAATATAATGTAAAGAACGTCGAAGTTCAAAATTTGTAACAAAAAATACTATGTGCGGCTGTTGCTCGGATGCGAGCTGGGCTCGCGACATTTATTAATAAATTCTGCAGTATATCTATATGCATTATTCAAATCATCAGTTATAATGCTATTAGAAGAACAATATTCTATATGTTTTCCTTCTATCAGAATAGACACACTACCATTAATGATATTTGCGTCGTCATTCTTTGTGATTAGTATTACTTTCTTTGCTATTAATTAATCCTCCTTAGATATTATTTTGTCTTTGTAAATTGCGGTTACTAAATCGTTCTTTTCAAGATATTTAGGTAGAATTGTTACTATATCTTCAGCATCATTTATACTACCGTTGCCTATGTCTGTCAACCATTTTGTAAATGCGGACTGGTTATGTGCTCTCATATTTTCGGTCAAATGTAAGATTTCGACCTGGCTAAATAATACCGAGCTTTGTATATTGGACTCTATCACATCCATAACAAATCCACAAAGAACAACATTAGCTGTCTGCCTAAAATTGGCCCCCAATACTACGATTTTTTCTCCAAACAAACATTTATTTGCACAAATCCTTTTAAGAACCTATTCTATGGCATAAAGAGTATACTTGGACAATAAATCTTATCAAAGATGTCTTAGCGATTTTAATGACTTCAGTTGTATTAGGCTTCAACCTTGATATACTTGACTTACTTAATGAAACGGGTAGTTTTATACCGCTATGAACTGTTCCTCCATCTTGTAGCAAATCGGCAGCTATTCCTGTAGTAGCCAACCGCACAACATTTTTGTTTATCCCTGCCATATATGAAGCAATTGTCCTATACAAATATGTCTTACCGGATCCAACAGGTCCATCTACAAAGAATGCCTTCCCTTTTTCATCTAAAGACCCAACAATTATATCAAATACCCTTCTTTGTTCTTAGTTAAGTGATTCTTCTTTACAACTTAAATGTTCTTGATTAAATTATACTTCTATTTCGCTTATCGTGGCGTTTGAAACTACAGAGAGGCCCAATGACCACAAAGTCCATCCGTGGTTACTGATTCTTGATGATATACAAAGTTAAAAGTTTGTCTTAATTCAAATCACTATAATCCTCCACCATATAATCTTTAAACTTATTATATAAAGCCAATGGGGACTTGGGTCGATTAAAAGAACATTAAACAGAAAAAAGTCTAATTGTGTATGGTAATTGTGTCAACGCTGTATCTTCAAGTGCCATGTTACGCTCATTATCACTTATTAACAGTCCTCTTGCCTCAGCAGTCTCTTCAAAAGTATTATGTGCGTATCCATAAAAACTTCTTAACTACTAATAGGAAGTACAACCCTTAGTATCTAATAGTAAGTCTTAAATAAAACCTTTCCTTATATTACACAGAAATATCATAAATTCTTGATATTAATTTTTTGTTGGCTTTACTTCTTAGTTTGCATTCCCCTTTTACATATATATAATGAGTCAGAACCTCACTGTAGAAGTAATTTCTAGCTAATGGGTTTTCACTATTTAATTTAAAATAAGTCATTAGAAGGTCTTATCTAGATCTGCCGTTGCAATTCTTTCATCCACCTTTCCTTCTTCAAACACTATTACTTGTTCATGCGGTAGATACACGGGAAGTCTTATTTAATCATGTGATTTATCCGACATCTTATTTTCAAGTAATCTCCACATACCCCCGGGCGCAGAGACGTATCTTGAATTAATGAACTGGCTGTGCTCATTTTTATTAGTCAATTCCACTCCTGCACAATCGTAATCTTTGTAAATATGCTTAAATATATACTTAATCGACTTTATAGAAGGACAGCCCTTAACATTAATATGGCAATAAAATCTTGAAAGTAAATACTTATTATAAGGAACAAAAAAGGCATTGCTTAGCACATGTTTTTTATGCCTAACGGTATTATTACATCTTTTCATGTACTGCAAATACTCCTTTTTATTTATTATTGTCACACGACAAAATTTCTTAAAGAATCCCTTTGTGCAAATACCTTCGTCCATGCAAGAGCTTTGAGGATTCATAATTCACAAAAACCATGAATCACTTGCTTCATCAGTTTGTAATAAAGAATCGGCTCATTATTTTCATTCGGTATTTCGGCAGAAATATACCTGTCGGTCTTTTCAGCTGAATCAATCTTGTCTTTTAAAACGAAAAGAATATGCGCATGTAGCAGTCCCCTTTTCTGAAATTATATTTTGTACGCCGGGGGAGGACAACCCGCAACCCCAAGATGGTTGGTGCGGCCCGAGAAGCATTTTTGTAAAATTCACTTTTTTGACTTCATGCTATTAGCATATGAATAATACTCTATGTTAATTTTATAGTGACAAATCACCGGGTTAAATCTGTATAAAATAAGAGGGCGCAACCTTCTGCGCTATTTTATGTTCAAATTTAATATGTTAATTTTTATGCGTTAAATATACAAAAATTAAAAACTTTTGGTCATATAAAGAGTTTTAGTATAATGCTAATGTTAAAGAGCTATTTATTTTGTAAACTTTCAGATTTTTTTAACCCATCTGGCGTGACAGAAAAGCAAAAAAAGAAACGTATAATTGAGGACTAGGATAGAAATTTCTAAATAAAATGGAATTATACTATTTTTTTATATTTAACAATTGTAACGCTGTATGCTTAATATGTCTAGAGACTGTTGTTACATTAAAAGAACTTATCATTAAAAGGCATTTTGATGCGAAACGTCTGCAGCAGTATAAAAATTTTACTGGGCAAGTTGATTCTGAAAATTTTGATCAAATGTAGAAATCCTTGATTAAACAACAGGCCTTTTTTAGAAAAAAATTTTTTTTTCAACAGCTGCAGTTAAGGCTAATTATGCAGTCAGTCAAATTCTGGCAAAAAAGTTGAAACCTTTTGCAGATGGTAAAATAATAAAAGAATGTTTAACTGCTGTTGCAAAGATAGCATTCCCTGACAGAACAAATGTTGTTTCAATTATTAATTTATCAAGGTCTACTGTTGCAAGATGGATCGAAGACTTGTCTGAAGACATATTCACAACACCATGCCAAAGAATTACAAAACTTGAATATTCCTCTCTGGCACTTGATGTGGGCTGTGACATCAGCGATGTAACACAACTTTCTATATATATACGAGGTATTGACGTTGATTACAATATTACTGAAGAACTGTGTTCTCCAATTTCAATGAAAGAAACTACAACTAGAAAAGATATGTACGATGAACCTTAGTCTGTGTTAGAAAAATTTAAGATTCCTTTAAAAAAAATTGTTGATATATCAACGGATTGCGCACGTGCAATGTCAAGCATGGGGGCTGGTGCATCAAGAAGACTGTTTCAAGAAATAGAATAGACTACAGGGTCAAAAAAATTGTAAATCATTGTACTATTTCACCACGAAAATTTATGTGCGAAAAAAATAAGCTTTTCACATGTTACGCTGCCAAAAATAAAGCTTATAAACTTTAAAAAATCGCATCTTTGAATCATCGTAAATTTAAAGAATTTTTAAAAGATTTAGAAACTGAATATGGAGGCGTAATTTTTAATACCGAAGTGCGTTAGCTCAGCGGAGGGGCCATGCTCAAAAGAATATACGGTTTAAAAAACGAAATACAGATATTCTTAAATTTAAAAAATTATGTTTTTCCTCACTTTTGCAAAATTAAATTGATAAGCAATTTTGGATTTCTTATTGACATAACTCAGCATTTTAACGATCTTAATTTTAAACTTCAAGAAAAACATAAATTATTCATAATCTCTATGATGAAATTCAAGCTTTTTGAACAAAAATTATATTTGTGGAAATAACATGTTCTTTATAATAATTTATTTTTCTCACTTTGAAAATGAAAAGTTTGCTAAAATAGAAAAATACGCTCGGCTTTTAGACATTAAAATTTCAGAGATAAAGTCGTGACCTCGCGTTTTAAAACTGAGTACATGGAGATAGCAATAGAATTGTTTGTTTTTTATTTAAATACAAACGTGGAAAAAGTTCATAGAGAATTTCAAATAGAATAATTGATTTGCAATGCAACACTAGTTTAAAAATGTATTTTTTGCGTTAAAACTTAAAATTTTTTACAAAATCATTTGAGTTACGGAAAGTTCGTACTGCTGACAAAAAATGAAAAAAAAATGATGTCTTTTTTTGGAAGTACGTATGTCTGCGAGCAATTATTCTTCGGTCATAAACCTAATAAAAAACAATTACCGATTAAGACTTGGTGATTTACAATTAGAAAGTTGTGTACGAGTTGCTACCTTATCAATTTTTGTTGACATTGATCAGCTTGTATCAAAAAGGCGGGCCAGATTTCTCCTTAAATTTTTAGGTAAACTTTTTTTTGCATAAAAGCATTTTTATAAAGTCGCAAACTTTGAATAAAAACAGTTTAAAATTACGTTGAAAATATAAAATAAAAATCGTTAACAAACTTTATTAAAAATGCGGCCCTCCTTAAATTTCAAAATTTAAATTTGCCCTCTGATAAAAAAGGTTGTTTACCCCTGCTATAGAGGGATTAAAAAAATTAATTTGGCTTTAAATTTAACGTAAAAAATTCTATACTTAAAACTATAAATAGAAAATGGGGCGTCCTTGTGTGACACAACCATTTCTTGAATAGAGCTCTATTAAGCTTTTGTTGTACACATTTGATTTAATATCCTTATTTATGAAATTTAAATTTATTTCTTTGTAATTCTTAAAATTTATGCCCCCTTTCTCAAATTTTTATTTATAAAAAATTATTTTGAAATTTAAATTAAAATAATTAATGTTATTAAATACATAACAGAAACATATTCTAAAATTATTGCAACCTGCATATATTAATTTTTTAGTACGACATTTTGGAATATAATTTTTTTTAAAACGTATACATTGGAGAGTTATGGCCGTAACCACTACTTTTTAAAATAATTTAAACTTCTAAAAAACACAAAAATAAAATCAAATATTTAATTAATTAAACTTCCTAAACCAACCAATAACTCTTCTAAATTTATTAAATTATTATTATTAGAATTCCAAAGCCTATAAATTTTATTATCTTG